AAAAAAAAAAAAAGGAAAAAAGAATAATAGCCCCCTCATGTCAGAGTGAGAAAACAAGGGCAAGAGAGATAATGGGGGCAGCAGGGGGGTCCCAGACTCATTTGAAGACTGAGAGGATGGGAATTCAGCCCCATCTGTTATAAATAAAGGGAGACTGAGGCTGGGGCTGGCGACCCAGCTCGGTCTGGAAGGCAGGGTGCGGGAGGGTGGTGAGGGGCGGAGAAGAGCAGACTGAGAGAGGAGAGAGCAGAGTCAGGAGTCAGGACCAAGATCCGAGAGCTACAGAGCGATTTAGGCCAACACCTGCCTCTTCGGGGTGACTTCTGGCTGGGGGCCCAGCTGGGTCTGGGCCTGGCCCAGGGAGCCAGGGACGGACAGCGGGTGTGGCTGGGATGGTAGGGCGGCAGCAACCGTGGCCGTGGCCCCAGTAGCAGTGGCTGGGCTAGGGGTGGAGTCGGACCAGTCTGAGAGAGAAGGAGGGGACGGGCTGGCCCAGTGCTCAGGGGACTCTGGGGACGGGGTCAGGTAAGGGTGCTCACTGGGGACCCGCAAGAAGCGAGTCTTGGGAGGGCTGCCACGGGTCCCCGATGCCGGGTATTCCTCGCCATGTCCCGGGGCTGCCAGGTAAGGCGGGGGCCGCTCCTGGGGAGACACAGGGGCCCCAGGGTTAAGCAGCTGGGGTCCCGGAGCCAGGGGCAGCAGGAATGAGGGCCCTGGGGGTGCTGGTGGGGGCAGTCGGGCCCAGTCGAGGGGCACAGCTACCGGATTCAGCAGGCCCAGGCTGAGCACACAGCCACCAGGCGGCTGGCGGCCCAGAGGACCTGCCCGGCCTGGGCCACCAAGCTGAGCCAAGGACACGGCCGTGGCAGTGGCAGCCGCGTAGGGACTCTCGATGGGGAAAGACCCAGGAGAAGCAGGGGGTCCACCAAAGGCCCTTGGGGAGTCCAGTGAGTCCACGGGTGACAGCGTAACCGAGCTTTCGGCCAGGGGGCCCGAGCAGGCCAGCGTCAGCTTCTTGCCCCGGCCCCGCGGCCCCTGTGGCCCCATCCCTGCCTTCCCAGGGGGCCTCCTGCTCTTCTTGGCCCCTGACGGGGCTGTCTTGAGGCCCGGGAGGAAGGCCCCAGGCGGACAGAGCAGAGGGCCCAAGCCGTGGGGGCCGGGGGGACTGCGGGGCCCGCTCGGCTGGTCCAGCAAGCGCACGATGTCCTGGTGGAGCCGCTCCTGGGCCACATCCCGAGGCAGCCTGTCCAGGTGGTCTGTGATCTCCCGGTTGGCAAAGTGGTCCAACAGCAGCTTGGCAGCCTCATAGCTGCCCTCACGGGCAGCCAGGAACAGCGGGGTCTCCTCCTGGGGCAGAGAAGGGATGGAACCCATAAATATCAATGGCAGCCTGCCTGATATAGCAAAGTCTCCAGCCTCTGAGAGAGGTTGGGAGCTAGGAATCTGCCACCTGGAGCTTGACAGACCTGGGTTCGAATCTCAACTCTGCTGACGATAACCAAGGATCTCTCCTCTAAATGACATTCGACCAGCAGGTGAGATGGGTAGGATGCTCACCATAGGCACAAAATTGAAAGAGACATCAAAAACCTCAGTCAAAGACAGGTATGGTGGTGCAATTTAGGCATTCTGAAAGGCTGAGGCAGGAGGATCTCAACTTCTAGCCTAGCCTGGCAAATTAGTGAGACCCTGTCAAAAAAGTGCTGGGGATAGAGCTCAGTGTGAAGGCCCTGAGTTCAATCCCCAGTGCCACAAAAAATAAATAAACTTTAAAAAAAATAATAATAACACCAGCCCACCGGATACATGATACTTCAGTGTAAAGTTTCATAAAAAGTAAGATTTAAGCAAAAAGTATCTACAGTGAATAAAACATTGAAATTTTAAATAAATTGCTCCCCACAAGCCACTGAGTCTCGTGCTTTTCATTTGGAAAATGAGATTGTATCACGCCACCTGGGAACGGTTTTTCAATAACCTCCCTAGCAGTTCTCTTTCCTTGAGGATCTGCTAAGCGCTTTTACAAACACATTAGCTCGCTGGATGCTCAGGGAAAGCAGTGCCGTGGGTGCTGTTGCTCCTCTACAGACCAGGAGACAGCTTCAAAGAAGGTAGGCAAGCAGGCCAAGTTCACACAGCAACTCGCTCCTCTCACCCACCTCGGAAGCCCTTGGCTCCAAAGTCCCACCCTGAATGCTGGCTGCAGGCAGATTCACATCCCCACCCTGCTCTCCGCCACCCGAGGCTGGGCCAAGAGCTCACCTTGCTGTCCTGCATGTCCTTGTTCGCCCCATTTTTGAGCAGAGCCAAAGTGGCCTCCACGTTGTTCACAGCCGCAGCCCAGTGTAAGGCTGATTTCCCTGGAGGGGGAAGAGGGGTTGTCAGACCCAGGCAGATGTGCACACGAGCGCACGCACACACACACACACACACACACGGCTTCCAAACACAGGAGCACACTGTGTGGACCTCACTTGGTTGAACCTAGACTGAGGTTCAACCAAGGCTCAGGGCACTCTTCAGATTTAAACTAATTAGAAACAGTCGAGGGCCGGGGATTTAGCTCAGTGGTTCCACCTCCTGCCTTGAAAGTGTGAGGTCCAGAGTTTGATCCACAGCGTCAAAAAAACAAAAAAACCAGCTGGGCGTGGTGGCACACATCCCCACCTCCAGCTACTCCAGAGGCTGAGGAACAGGGTTCCAAGTTCAAGTCCAGACTGGGCAATCTAGCAAGATCTTGCTTCAAAATAAAGCCCCCTATGTGAAATAGGAAGAAAGGGGCTAAAGGTGTAGGGAAAGTGGGAAGGGTGGGGGAAAGGGAATAAGGGAAAAGAAAAAAATACGAGAAAATGAAAAAATGGAAATGAAGTATTTGTAAACGGGGAGTGGGAGGAGGGGAGGAGGGGTGAAGGGAGGGCAGGGACAAGGGGAAAAATGAGAACCAAGACCTGTCATGCAAAGGTACAAGATCCCAATAATGAATGTATCTGTACTGTATACCTAAAATGTACCAATAAACTCAATTAAAAAAAACAAAATGAAGCCCCCTAAGAAGGGCTGGGGGTGCAGCTCAGTGGTAGAATGCTTGCCTAGCATGTGCAAGGACCTGGGTTCTATCCCCAGTACTGCAAAAACTAAAATAATAATAGTAATTAATTACATTACGTGAGACAGGTGCCAAGGTCATTCAAGAAGAATCAACTCAATAATGGTGCTGGGACAATTGGATCTCTACATGCTAAAGAATGAAGTGGAAAAAGCCAGCCATGGTGGTGCAGGCTTGTCATCCTAGCACTCAGGAGGCTGAAGCAGGAGGATCAACTCAAGTTCGAGGCCAGCCTGGGCTACATGGTAAGACCCAGTCCCCCAAAAAAGATCAAGAATGAAGTTGAACACACACACACATACAAAAGCTAACTCAAAATGAACCCGAAAAATGAGTGTAAAAGCTCAAACTATAATACCACTAGAAGAAAACACCAAACTAAATCTTTGGGGCTTGAGTCAGCCAAAAGATTAATAGATATGACCCCAAACAGACGAGCAACAAAACAACTAGAATTATAAATCATCAAAGTTGAATCTTCGGGGTTGGGGATGTAACTCACTGGTATAGTACTTGTCTACCATGCAGGTGGCTCTGAGTTGCATCCCCAGAAATGCAAATAAAAATTGAAACTTCTGTGCTTTCAAGAAATTGAAAAGCGTCAGGTGTGGTGGCACACGCCTGTAATTCCAGCGCTCAGGAGACTGAGGCAGAAGGACTGCTGCAAGTTAAGTCCAACCTGGGCTACGTAAGTCAAAACTTGCCTGAAGTACATAGCAAGACCCTGTCTCAAAAAGCAAAACAAAACAAAACAAACAAACAAAAGAAGAAACAGAAAAGATTGGCTGAAGCAGGAAAAACACAAACTTGAGTCCAGCTTGGGCAATTTAGCAAGGTTTTATCTAAAAAAAAAAGAAAAAGCCAGGCGTGGTGGCGCACGCCTGTAATCCCAGCACTCAGGAGGCTGAGGCAGGAGGATCGCTGTGAGTTTGAGACCAGCCTGGACTACTTAGTGAGTCCCAGGTCAGTCTCAACTACATAGTGAGACCCCCTCTCAAAAAACAAAAAACAGAACAAACAAAAAAAAAAGTCACAAAAAAAAAAACAAAAAAAAAAAAAAAAAAAAAAAGAAAGAAAAAAAATTAAATGAACAATAAATGCCCTACACAGTGGCAGGTACCTACCTATGACCCAGTTACACAGGAGGCTGAGGCAGGGGGATGGCTCAAACCCACGGGTTCAAGACCAGCCTGGGCAAAATAGAAAGATCCCCACAATGAATGTAACTGTTCTGAACTGTAAACACGTACTAATAAAAATTGTAAAAGAAAGAAGCTCTGACGCAGGAGCATTCGTCCCAAAACAGGGAATCAAAGCCACATTTTTCTGTTAGCACCAGAATCGCCTCATATTGTTATGGCACCCTTAAGCCATAAAATAAATCAGTGGTAAAACAGCAGGGAAAAAGAAAGACTTAATGGGCGAAGCAAGCATTCCTGGCTCACAAAGGCCAAGGCTGTTTACCTCAGAGACCCAATAAACACACGTGAGGAGGTCTCATGACCAATAAAAAAGGTAGAGTAACAAACCAAGGCCTCAAGAAACAGGAGATTGTCCAAGGCAGGTCAATATAACACCAGAAACATAAAAAGCTGTGGAGAATACACAGGTAGAATACCATCAGACGTAGAAAATCTCTTGTTTCACTGCAATCTCTTGTTTCACTTTTGTCTTTTTGAGACAAAATCTCACTATGTATTCAGGCTGACCTTAAACTAACCGTGTTGCCTGAGCTGGCCGTAAAGTGCCTTCTCTCCTCCTGTCTCAGCCTCCTGCCTGCTGGGATTACAGGTGTACACCGCCATGCCCAGTATGGAATTTTAATAAAGCATACCCTTCTAACGAAGCAGTATTAAAAAGATTCCACCTCAAAATAACTAAAGAAATAAATAAAATGAAAGAAAAGTTGGCTCTTGTTTTGGCCCGGCAATATTTCAGGTGCTCAGCGGCCAGCACATATGGCCAGTGGTTGCCGTATTGGGTGGTGCTGACAGCGAACAGTGGTTTCCCGTCAGCACAGAGCATTCTATCGGCGAACACTTCTAGAGAACCACGGTTCCCTAAAGACATCACATCACGGTGATCCATGGGTACTCGTGTTTCTAGCAGCACAACTCACCACAGCTAAACCCTGGAAGCATCCTGTAAGACCACCAGCAGGTGAATGGATAACGAAAATGTGGTATTTATACCAGTGGAGTACTACTCTGCCACAAAGAAGGTTAAACTGGAGCCATGGACACACCTTGAGACCATAATGTTAAATGCAATAAGTCACACATCAGAGTTTAAATATCACATGGCTTCCCTTCCATGAGAAACCCAAAGTATAATCAAAACAACAAAATAAAAGATAACAGGATAAAAAGGGATAGATCTTTGGCAAATGAAAAGGGGACCAAGAGATAGAGGGGAAGGGAGAAGTAAAAAGAAAGAAGATATGTTATACACATGTACCGATTCCTGGCGGTGAAGGTAATCATTATGTACTCTGCCTACAAACTAATAATAAAAAGTTTTTTCAAAAGAGCCAGGCTCTGTGGTGGTCATTTGCAATCTCAGCACTTGGGAGGCCGAGGCAGGAGGATCACCCTGAGTCTAAGGCCAGCCCGGGCTAAGTAGTGAGTTCAAGGCCAGTGTCAACTACATAGCAAGACCCTGGTGTTGCATAGAGATTGCCCTGATTCCAAACGTTTTTCCTTTTGTATTTAATTCATATTTTATTTACATGTTTGCAGTGCCTAGTGATTACATTCATTGCAGAGGTGATAAATGTAAACAGCACATCTTAATTCTTTGTTTTGTTTTGTTTTGTTTGTTTTTTGTGTTTTGTTTTGTTTTGTTTTGTTGAGACAGGGTCTCACTAGTAGTTGAGACTGACCTGGAACTCACTGTGTAGCCCAGGCTGGTCTGGAACTCACAACAATCCTCCTGCCTCAGCCTCCCCAGTGCTGGGATTACAGGTGTGCACCACCACGCCCGGCTCCAGCACATCTTAATTCTTTTTGGTTCCCTCTCTCTTCCCTCCTTCTCCACTCTATCTCTAGATCCCTTTCCCATTTGCAGAAGGTCTATCTCCCTGATCTTTATTATCCATGCTTTGTTTTGCTCTTTAAATTATCTATACTTTTTTAAAAATTATTTATACTTTGGTTTTCTCACATAAGAAAAACCATGCAATATTTAAGCTTCTGTGTCTGATTTATTTCACTTAACATTATTGACCTCAAGGTGCATCCGTTTTCCTACGGATGACTGGAGTCTATCTTTGTGGTAAAGTAGTATTCCACTGTGTATGAAAACCACATTTTCTGTCTCTAGTCTGTCTGTGGACATAGAGGCGGCTTCCGACATTAAGCTAAGCACTGCGCTGCTGTAAACTTTATTTCTATGGTCCAGCAGGTGGCAGTAGAGTGCGTTTGTCCAACAAAGCCGAGGAAGGGGGTCAGCCCGAGTGGAAGCTGGCGCTACATAGATGGGTGTTGGTGATTGGTCTCGACGTGGGTGTGAGTTCACACCCGCAGGACGGCCAGGGCACGGCTTCCTACCGAGCTCGTCCACGGCATTGACATCAGCGTGGCTGGCAATGAGCTCCTCCACCATGCCCTCCACCGCCAGGCGGGCCGCCAGGATCAGGGCTGTGGAGCCGTCTGCCATGCGGGCATCCAGGTCTGTGGAGCGGTTCCGGATGAGGATCTGGGAAAGATGTTACAGCAAGGGGACCGTAGGAAGGTCAGAAGCCCGTCGTAAACTGAATACATCCTAATTGAAAATGGACTGAACACATCAAAAGTACCAAACATCAGAGCTCAGCCTGTTTGTTTTATTTTTAATGTTTGAGATTGGATCTAGGGCCTTCTCACTGAGCTCCACCCCCAGCCCTTATTTTGAGACCCGGTCTTGCTAAATCACCGAGTTTCCCAAGCTGAGCTCAAACTTGTGATCCTCCTGCCTCAGCCTCCAAGACTGCTGTTACAGACACACACCACATACCCAGCTACAGCTCAGCCTTAAATATGCTCAGAAACCTTACATTAGACTACAGTTGGACCAAACCACCCAACATAAAGCTTATTTTTATAATAACATGTTGGGCTGGGGATGTAGCTCTGGGGTAGAGTGCTTGCCTAGCACATGTGAGGGCCTGGGTTCGATCCCCAGAGCACAAAGGAAAAAAAATTGCTGAATATCTCATGGAATTCATTGAATACAGTACTAAGGTGAAAAACAGAACGGTTGTCTGCTTACACTTCTGCAACATTATAAAGTCAAAGAAGAAAGCTGGGCATGGTGGCTCACACCTGTAATCCCAGCACTCAGGAGGCTGAGGCAGGAGGATCACTGTGTGTCATATTCAAGGCCAGCCTGGATTACAGAGCAAGATCCTGTCTCAAAAAAAACAAGGGAAACAAACAAAAAAAAAAGATAAATCAGCTGGGTGTGGTGGCACATGCCTATAATCCCAGCTCTTCGTGAGGCTGAGGCAAGAGGAGCCCTCATTTGAGGCCAGCCTGGACAATTTAGTAAGACCTAGCCTGCCATGGGCAAAACCCTAGGTTCATTCCCCAGGACCCACAGAAAAACAAAGAAAGAAAATAACCATCATAAGCCAAGTCCGATCTGATCTTGGCAGACACTGCGCTTGGGTCTGACCTCACTTTCCACATCAGAAAGATGAGCTCTGAAGGACAGAAGTGGGGTTCCAGGCTGGGCAGATCGGATGCCCGCCAGCTCCAACCTCCAGAGCGCTGGCCCCGTCTCACCTGAAAGACCCCCTGGGCATCGGCCGTGACAGCCGTGTGCAGAGGGGTGCGGCCCGAGTGGTCCTGGGCATTGGTGTCAGCGCCAGCATCCAGCAGTCGCTTGGCCGCATCAGCCCGGGCATAGCGGGCAGCCAGGTGCAGGGCCGTCTCGCCCGTGCGGTCAGTGCGAGCCCCGAGCTGTGCCCCCTGGCAGATCAAGTCGGAGATGATGCTGGCCGACGTGTCCTCGGCCTCCTCCTCCTCTGCAGGCACAGGGTCCAGGGCTCCCCCACAGAAGGAGGCCAGCATGAGCGGGGTGAAGCCATCTGCAGGGACCGGAAGGAAGGTGTCACGGAGGCACGGTACCCTCCCAGAAGATCACATCAGGGACACCCTATTCGGAGCTAGGGACACGGAACGACACAGAGTGGCACCATGCCAAGCGCCCGCTGGTTAAGAACCAGTCCCAGGGTTAGACAGTCATGCGCCCAGGGGCATGGGGGACTTGCACAGACAGCCACGAGAGCGGGCCATTCGGGGAAAGCAGAGCTGACAAGAATTCTCTGGAACACAGCAGAGCAGGATCTGAGAGGACCCAGGTGACATGAACAGCAGGCTACACAGCATGAACAGTCCCGGTTTTCCTTAGGGCGCCATGCGTACCCCACGCTCCAGCCTCAAGCCCTGCTTAGAGCCCAACACCCCTCCCAGGCCCGGAGACTGAGCTGGTTAATGGCCAGGACCAGCCAATCCACAGAGTCCAGTCTCCTACCCCCGAATGGCTCAAGGATGAGCAAGTGATGCAAGTCTGTCCAATCAGAATAAAGTGTTTTGTTTTGTTTTGTTGTACTGTGAATCAAACTTAAGGACATTCTGTCACTGAAGCACACCCCTAGCCATCTCATTTTACTTTATTTTATTTTTGGATTTTTTTTTTTTTTTTTTGAGACAGGGTCTCACTATGTAGTTGAGACTGACCTAGAACTCACTGTGTAGCCCAGGCTGGCCTCAATCTCATGGCGATCCTCCTGCCTCAGCCTCCTGAGTGCTGGGATTATAGTCATGCACCACACTGAGCTGATGTGTGTGTGTGTGTGTGTATATAAAAATTTTTAAATATATATATATATATTTTTTTTTTTTTTTGAGACAAGATCTCACCAATTTGTCCAGACTGGCCTTGAACTTGCCATCTTCCTGATTCAGCCCTCCCAAGTACCTGGGATGACTAGAATTACAGTTAGGAGCCACCACGCCAGCAAGACAATTTTATTACCAGAGCCAAGGAGTAGTTCAGCAGAAGCTGCTGACTCAAAAAAAAATAATAATAAATAAAGAAGAAGCCACTGGCTCAGCAGAAGCCAAACCTGGTGATGCACACTTGTAATCCCAGCACTCTGGGAGGCTGAGGCAGGAAGATCTACATTTGAGCCCAGCTTGGCAGTTTAGTGAGACCTTGTCTCAAAATAAATAAAAATGAACAAACAACAAAACAAGAAAAGGTCTGGGCATGTAGTTCAGTTCGAAGGCCCTGGATTCAAACCCCAGTGCTGAGGGGGATAAAAAGTGGAAGGCCAGGAATTTAGCTCAGTGGACGCTGCACCTGCCTCACAAGTGCAAGATCCTAAAGTCCTGAGTTCAATCCCCATTCCTAAATCTCTGAGGACAGCATTACTCTACTACCAAAGACGACAATAACGTTCCAACTGTCCATCTTCCTTGTTTTGCTTAAGCTAGTTGGGCTTTTATCCTTCGCAAACACGCCTCACGTCACCCCACAGCAGCCTGGAACTGGTCCCAAATGGGAGGGGTGGAGCCTCCCTGGGGGAGGGACCCTGACCTGGGCCACGAACGTTGACATCCATGCCATCAACGTCTGCATCACCCTGTGGCGGTGTCAGCGCCATGGCTGGTGCTCCGCGGATGTCAGCGGCTACCAGGTGGTGCTGGGTCCACTGACGACAATCCACGGGCTCCTCAGCGCCCGCTCCAGGCTCCTCCACCTGGAAGGAGAAGGAGGTGGGACAGACTGTGAGTGGCAGGGGCGGAAGACCGGGGCTTCTGCTCAAGGGGATGCATAGAGGAGGCCCAGGCAACCATGAACACCCTATCTCTCACGGATGAGGAAACGGGAAGGGGGTGGTGCTGGAGCTTGAGGAGCTCGTGAAGGAAAGAAACTGGGTTTCAATCTGGGTCAGAAGGAAGGCGAGGCCAGTAACCCGAAGTGCATGGTGGCGCACACCCGTAATCCCAGCACTCTGGAGGCTGAGGCAGGAGGATGGCCATGAGTTCAAGGCCAACCTGGGCTACATAGTGAGTTCAGGGCCAGCATGGAGTAGTAGCAAGACCTTATCTCAAAACACAAAAATAAACAAACAACCCGCAGTGGGGGAAAGGGACTAATGTAGCTCTTAAGAGTTCTGGTTAGTTCCTACAAGAGGGTGGGTTGTCATAAACGAGCCTTGCCCTCGGGTTTCTCTCTGGCTCCTGTCTCACCGTGACGTGACTTTTGCTACCATGATGTAACCTGCCATGGGGTGCTCACCAGATGCCGACATCGGGAAAAGCCCCACTGAGCCAAATAAACTTCTTCTCTTTATACATTACCCAGCCTTGGGTATTTTGTTATAGCTACAGAAAATGGACCAGCACATAGCCCAAGGTGGACAAAGTGAGAACCCACAGAAAGAAGGCAGAGGTCAGGAGGTCGGTCCCCTCAGGGATGAACCCAGGCCGGCCTGGGAGCAGGTAGCAGGTTGAGGAGAAACAGGGTGGAGTAGGGGATCTTCCACCCACCTGGAGAGCTTTGTGGGCCCCCCCACGGCAAATCCCCCTCCTCCCTTAAGGGCACAGAGCCCACAGAGAAGAAAATGAGGTCACACGGGCTACGGCTGCTGGTGGGGAGAACAGAGCACTCCTCCACCCAGGGCCCTGGAGGAAGGGGCACGGAAGGGGGCAGCACCTTCAGTCGCTTGGCCTCTGGGCAGTCTGCGTCCATCCAGTCTGTGGCCACCTCCCCCATGAGACTCTCACCCTTGGCCATGCTCCTGTAGGGAGATAGGAGGAAAAGGAGGTGAGGCACTGGAGGACTCTGGCCTGTGAAGAGCGCCTTGAGGTGGACTCACAGCAAAGAAGACAGAAGCAAGATCGAGTTGGTGGAGTTAGAGCTAGGATCTTCGGTCAATAAATGCAGGGAGGCTCAGGACATAGGGGCCAATGATGGGCGAGGCAGCATGGAATAAGGTAGGAGGGCAGATCGGAGATTACGACGGTGGCACCCTGAGTCTTCAGGTAGAATCAGAGAAGGGGCAGGCGTGCAGTCAAAGGACAGCGCAATGGGTTACGGGATAGATGAGGGTCACAGGCATCCAGGGGCAGGGGCTGGTGTCAAAGGTTATGGAGGTCATGTTAATCTTGCAAAGAGGCGTGAGGCCCTCAGTTTAATCCCAGGAAAGAAGAAAGGGAGGGAGGGGAGGAGGGAGGAAAGGGAGGGGAGGGGAGGGGAGGGTCGGAGGCAGAGGTGGTACTAGAGATCATAGACCAGTGTCAAATGTTAGAGAGGGTGAGATGCAGGCCAGGCTCTTAGGGTCAGCAGGCATGTGCTGATGAATCAGGATGAGGTCTAAGAGGGCAGTTCAGGGTGGGATTAGGGTAGTAGGAACTGAGCCAGGAAATGGGGAAACAAAGTCAGGTCAGGGGAGTCTCCAGGGACTGTGAAGCCAGTGGTTAAGAGGCTGAATTGGGGTCGGAGAGGCAGTCTGAACTTAAGGTCAAGAAGGGGTCAGAGGTCAGAGCCAGACCACGGTGGGGTCCAGGGTTCCCAGGACAGGGAGTCGGGGACAGGGAGCACACGGGGTCCTCACTTCATGCCTAGCGCATCTTGTCCCACGGGCTCCCGCCGGCCCTTGTGGCCTGCTGCCACATCCTTGTGCAGGGCGAAGCCCTCGGGGAACCAAAGGGTGCTGTGTTCACGCTTGCGGCGGGCCACCATGACACCCAGGACGAGGATGACCAGCAAGAAGACGGCGCCTGCGGCCAGCAGCGGCAGCACTGGCACACTAGGCTCTGGAGGCTCCAGCGGTTCCCCTGCAGGAGAGGCAGGGACAGCGGCAACCGTGGGGTGGGGCCTCAACTGTGGGCGGAGCTTTCAGGTGTGGGTGGGGTTCGACCGTGGGCGGGGCTTAATAGGTGGGCGTGGTTTTGGCTGTGTGTGCGGGGCTTCCACCCGGAGCGAGGGTTCCACCTCCGACCAGTACCAGGCAGGAGGCTCGGCCCCATCTCACCTCGCACATCCCTCAGTGGGTAGGGAAAGTCAAGGCGCTCCACCGCAGACAAGGCTCCCAGGTAGTCAGCAGCGCTCTGGGCATCGGGGAAGCAGTGGTCATTCTCGGGCGACTGCAGGCAGAGCCGGTTGTCAATCTCCAACATCACTACAGAGCTGCAGGGACACAGCAGAGGGCAAGGGCTCTACCTTCGCCTTATGCATCCCAGGCACCAAGCCACGCCCTCCTCTCCCCAGCGCCAGACTCCAAAGAGCCATTTCCACCAGCCGTGTCTCCACCACCCGCCTGTTCCCAGCTGGCATCCAACCCAAGAGCACCCCCCGAACAGGTCTTGCTGTGGTCACCAGTGTTCCTGGAGCCATGACTCTAATGGACGTGTTTTTCGCGTCCATTTCAGTAATTTTCCTCACCCATCCTGGGGGAAACTGTTGGTACAAGCCTCTACTGGGAAGAAGGCGGCTGGTGTACCCACAGTCCAGTTGCTCTGGGCGCTGGCTTCTTTTTCTTTCCAGTGCCACGGCCTGATGCACGTTAGGCAAGTGCTCTAGCACTCAGCTACGCCCCCAGCCTGTCTCCTGTTTTCTGAGTCAATTTCCTTCCACCAACCCTTAGAGTTCAGTGTTTCCAAGTTCATTCTCCCAGCCCCACTCCCAGGTGTACCCATTCACAGCCTTTCCCCACCCTAACACCTCTAAGGCCCCGCTTTCCTTTTTTTGTCAGGGTCCTGTCCTTTTCAGACCCCTGCTCTAATCTCAATAAATGCTATACCTTCCATCTGACCCTGCTGTGAGGTCACCAGCAATCTCATTTTACATTTTTTACAAAAACAAAAGCACACACACACAAAAAAATCCTTGCTGGGGTGAACGCAGGGCTTTGCACATGCCAGGCAAACATTCTACCATTGAACGGAACTCCCCACCCTTTTTATTTTTCATTTCAAGGCTCACTAAGTTCCCGGGCTGGCTTGAACTTGTGACCCTCCTGCCTCAGCCTCCCATATATTTGGGCTCACAGGTGTGCACGACTAGCACAGGTGTGTTCACCCTAGATTTTGGTTCTTAATGATGTTGAGGCCATACTGAAAGGAAAGAGTATTAGTATCATTTGGGATGACAGGAAGGATAGGATCTGCGTGCCTTTTTCAGCTGACTTGCTCTAAGATAGATATTTTTATTTGGGGGAAAGGTCTTATTGTGGTTTTTTGAGGAGATGGATTTTGAGACAGGGCCTGGCTGTGTAGCCCAGGGTGTACTCAAATGCAAAGTGATCTTCCTGTCTCAACCTCTCAAGTGCTGAGATTATTGGCATAAGTCACCATACCTGGCTAGATCATATTTTTTATAAATGATGAGATTCCAGGGTGGAAACTCGCTACCTTTTATTCTTCGAGGATTTTATTTAAAATTATAGCAGTTAGGGCCGGAGATTTAGCTCAGCGGTTCGGTGGCCTGCCTTGCAAGCATAAGGACCAAGTTCAATCCCCGGTATCAAAATAAATAAATAAATAAAATTTTTAAAAAAATTATAGCAGTTAGGGCCGGAGATTTAGCTCAGCGGTTCGGTGGCCTGCCTTGCAAGCACAAGGACCAAGTTCAATCCCCGGTATCAAAATAAATAAATAAATAAAATTTTTAAAAAAATTATAGCAGTTAGGGCCGGAGATTTAGCTCAGCGGTTCGGTGGCCTGCCTTGCAAGCACAAGGACCAAGTTCAATCCCCGGTATCAAAATAAATAAATAAATAAAATTTTTAAAAAAATTATAGCAGTTAGGGCCGGAGATTTAGCTCAGCGGTTCGGTGGCCTGCCTTGCAAGCACAAGGACCAAGTTCAATCCCCGGTATCAAAATAAATAAATAAATAAAATTTTTAAAAAAATTATAGCAGTTAGGGCCGGAGATTTAGCTCAGCGGTTCGGTGGCCTGCCTTGCAAGCACAAGGACCAAGTTCAATCCCCGGTATCAAAATAAATAAATAAATAAAATTTTTAAAAAAATTATAGCAGTTAGGGCCGGAGATTTAGCTCAGCGGTTCGGTGGCCTGCCTTGCAAGCACAAGGACCAAGTTCAATCCCCGGTATCAAAATAAATAAATAAATAAAATTTTTAAAAAAATTATAGCAGTTAGGGCCAGGGATTTGGCTCAGCGGTTCCGCCACCTGCCTTGCAAGGAAAAGAGGCTGAGTTCAATCCCTGGTACAATATATATATATATATATATATTGCAGTTACACAAAACAGCTCCAGTGTTACAAGTTACCGAACCTATTTTGCTATAAAGAAACAAGAGTTAAATGTATTTTGAAACATGTTTCTCTTAGGTTAAACACAGTTTTCAAGTGTGATTATTACTTGTATTTTGCTTTTTGTACAGCCAGGTATCCACCTTGGTTTTTATAGCTTCTGATATTTTCACAAAAATCAAAATTAAGCTGACATCCCCCGCAAAAAAGACCTACATATGCCCTTACCCAGTCTGCAAACCACTTGCCTCTCCAGAAAGTGGCAAAACTAGTCTTGAGGTGCAACTCTGGCCTCTCTCCCACCACCATCAGGAGACACTTGCTTCATATGTGGCATCTGGGGTGTTAGAGGCTCTTAACGGTAAAGCCTCAGCATTCTACATGGCACAGGACAGCAGCCCACAGCAAAGGATCCAGCCCCAATGCCAATGGAGCAGCGGTTGAAAAGCCTGTAGGTAAAGCCATGATCATCCCAGCACCCAGGAGGATGAGGCATGGAAATCATTGAGAGCTCAAGGCCAGCCTGGGCACATAGTGAGTTCAAGGCCAGCCCGAACTACACAGAGCGACCCCATCTCCAAAAAACCAAAAACAAAACAAAAAAATAAGAGAAGCAACACACACACAAGAGCCATCCAGTGGTGTCTCTCCTGTCCTCTTTCGGGTCCTGGGCCGCTCTTGGCCCTGTAGCTCCTGCAAGTGGAATCACTCACCCGATCACCTCAGGTGCCAGCTCCCGCCGGGTGCGGGACTCGGAACTAGAAGTGGGCCGGTGGTAAGGGAAGACCATGGCCTGGCCTCGAGCGTCCAGGCGGAAGCGCAGCGAGGTGCGCAAGATGGCGCTGAGACGCTGCAGGAAGTCGGCGCTGGAGCGCAGCAGCTCCTCAGGTGGCATCAGAACCGTGAGCACCAGGACGCCGCGGGCCAGCAGAGCCGGCACCTTGCTGGCACAGTCCAGGCCGTCCCAGCCACACTCCTCCGTGTTGCAACCCTGGTCACAGCGACCGTCGGCAAAGTGGTCAGCGCAGTACTTCTCGTACACAGGGCTGAGGGCAGAGAGGGGCAGAGTCAGGGAGCACAGGGACCACGGAGCCCCCACCACACACACAACACAAAGCAACGGACTCCAGGCGATGCTTGCACAGAGCAGTTGAGTGTGCTACATATGCTGGACCTCTTGGAAATCCAGGAGGAAGGGAGGAAAGGGAAGAAGGAAAAAAATAAAAAAGAGAGAGACAGACAGCCCGGGGATAAGGATGGAGAAATGGAGTGCACAGCCAGATGCTAACGTAGACAGGGCAAGTGCATGGAAAGTCAGAAACAGCGTGGCAGCGAGGGGGCAGAGATCACGCTTGAACAGAAATGAAAGCACGGCCCAGCGGACAGGCAGGCAGACGGGACGGATGGACAGAGGAGACAGGCGGGAACCAGGGGTGTGCGGCGTGGCTGCTGGCTCACTTGCAGGTGCGCTCGCGGCCGTGGCAGTCGAAGTTGTCGTAGAGGCAGGCGGGCGAGCTGCAAGCAGGGTCGCAGCGGCTGTTGTTGAAGAGGCGCCAGCACTGCAGCGCCTCGCACTGCCGCCAGGGG